CTTATAGCGATAAATGTAGAGGTACATTTACTATCATACAAAACTGACAACAAAAAAAAGCTTTGTAGATTACGTTATTATTTCTGAAAATATGTTTGAATCCACAACTGAACTGTTTATTTATGAAAACGGTTTATTTCATTTTGTAGTCTGTTTACAAACCTGTCTCTTATACACATCTAAAACAAAAGCAAGCCAGACGATTTAGATGTTAATGAATCTTAAAGTAAATGGAAAATTATTATACTTTCTGTAGCATCAGAAGTAATCGGTTACCAGAATATAAAATATGAACGTTAAATACGGTTTAATAAAGAAATTGAAGACATAAATAAAGAATGCCATCCTGCATGTGGAACATATTGCCAATATATATAAAAACCAGGTTGATTTTGAAGATCAACATTGTAATCTAAACAATAAAAATATGTTATTGAATGATGGCCTGCCCCAGACTCAATTATTTAATGAAATGTCCTCATTAAAGTTCTATTTTGTAGATTACTGGATTTAGAAAATATTCCAGACGAATGGAACGAGTGACATTTTATTCCGATATATAAAAAAAAAAGTGACATGAACGACCTAAACAACTATCGTGGTATAACTTTAAACTCTTGTGTTTTGTCTGATTATTTATCAGACATGATATTTGACTGAAGTTCAATGAGGGTTCCGTCATAACAGTAGATGTGAGGACCACATATTTATTTTAAAACATTTTAAGACATTATTTAGGGCCTCCAATAACGGTCACCGCCAGGGCCACACAAGCTCCGTGACGCCACTGTACGCCACTGCTAAATAATGTTTTGTAAATGATATTTGACTGAAGTTCAATGAGGGTTCCGTCATAATAGAAGATGTGAGGACATCTTTATTTTAAAAAGGCTGCGGGAAAAAAACGTATTTAGCGTTTTTTGGATTTTAAAAAGGCGTTTGACTTTGTTTAGCGACAATGACTTTTTTTAGACATTAAAACACAGTTCTGAAAGGAAAGCTATCCAATTTAATTAAGAATAATGTATTCTGATACTAAATGCAAAGTAATTTTTAACGATATTAAAACTAACAAAGATTTCCTGTTGCAATAATGTTTTATCTTAATTGTAAATAAAAAGTCATTTAAATTTTAATTACTTAGAGAATTATTTATTTTTGTACTTGAATTGTTTACTTAATGTTGCCTAATTAATTGTAAAAAAACTTATTTTAGATTATTTGTGTTTTGTGGGTTTGTGATGTTGTTTTGTAATGTTTTTTCTCCCCATTTGTTAAACTTCAATTTTGAATGAGAGATTGCAATAAAGTTCTTCGTATTTCGTATTTCGTAAAGGTGTAAAGCAAGGTGGTCCATTCTCAAATATTCTTTTCTCAATTTTTATGAATGAACTTTAATATTGTAAAAGAAAGGAAGCTTTAAAATCTCAATAATATGGGGATTGGTTGCCTTTTCTGGGCTGACGATGTTGTTCTAATAGATGAGGGTCTTGGAAAACAAATTTGTACTGCAAGTGATTTTGAAAACAACCGGTTAACCTGGAACAAATCAAAAGGTGTTAATTACGGTACAAAAAGTAAACGTATTTAGAAAATTAAAGTTGGTGAAAAATATTTACTTGAAACGGATAAATACAAAAAAAATCATTTCATATATTAAATCAATTATAGATGATCATGAACATCTTGACAAAATTTCTTATTTTGGAAAATAAGTTTAGAATTAGAATTAAGAATTTAGAAGTATTATAATGACATCCAAAGATATTGGGTAAAGCTTTGTTTGAAGTTAAGCCAAATACAAAATTGAAATGGGCTGATAAGATTAAGGTTTTGATAAATATGTGTTAATTTCGATTAACATTAATTATTATGGATGTAGATAATTCTTAATTAAGGAATTTCGTTTATCAATATGCTTGTAACAATAATAAATAACAATAAAAGCAAAAGATAAATCATCATTAAGTAATTATATTAACGTTACTGGTGTAAATCTAATACATTGGATTTGGATTTGTAAATGTCTAGGAGTTCAAAATTATCTTGAAACACGAGGATTATCATACTATTGGAATCTATTTTATAATGGGTCTAATGAGTATTAACGAAACTTATTACTTGATGATATATCTAATGTTTATCCTAATAATAAAGTTCATGACATTTCACTGTAAACAATTTATTGTATGTTGCATAAAAGAAAGTGAAAGATTTTGTTACATAAATCACCTCCTCAATAAGTCTTGAAGAAATCTAGACCTTGTTAAAAATTGTAATATACGAATTTATTATACGAAGATTAGGGTAATGCAAGACTTGCAGACCCTTAATTTAAAGTAAATATAATACATTTTCCTTTGTGTATAGATAAGTACTATTCTAAATGCTTTATAAATGATTGTCAGTTTTATTAACAAACTGTTGTACTAGGCCTAGTTAACGGTTGACACAAACCATCCGCTCCATGCCGACATTATAGGCACCGTTATTGTTAGGGAGTGGTACAGTGAATGCGCACAAGGACCGTTACAACCCAGCGGGCACAAAACGTTAATTCAACGTTGAAGCAACGTTGAAATGTAGTTGAAACGTTGAAATCATGTTCACAACATATACTCAACATTGAATCAACGTTGGAAATATGTTGTGTATTTAACCCAAGTCTCGGTTGATAATTTAACATTAATTCAACGTTGAATTAATGTTAAAATATGGTTGATAATTTAACAATTACAGTACAAACAAGTATTCAACATCATTTAAACGTCAAGTTAATATATAGTTTGCATTTCAATGTAGAATCAACGTTGAAAATGTGTTAAGTTTTTCAACCAGAAACCTATTGCTTATTCAACATTTTTTCTACGTTAAATAAACGTTGAAAATATGTTGAGATTTTAATGTTACAGTAACTACTTAAGTTCAACATCAAGTTAAAATATAGTTTGCATTTCAATGTAGAATCAACGTTGAAAATGTGTTACGTTTTTCAACCAAAAACCTATTGCTTATTCAACATTTTTTCTAGGTTAAATAAACGTTGAAAATATGTTGAGATTTTAATGTTACAGTAACTACTTAAGTTCAACATCAAGTTAAATTATAGTTTGCATTTCAATGTAGAATCAACGTTGAAAATGTGTTACGTTTTTCAACCAAACTCCTATTGTGTATTAAACGTTTTTTCAACGTTAAATACACGTTACAATTATGTTGAGATTTTAAAGTTACAGTATCAACATAAGTTCAATGTTTTTCAATGTGAAGTTAAAATATAGTTTTTTATATAACTTTATTTCAACATTGAATTAACTTTGAAATCTGGTTGAGATTTTAACATAACAATTACAATGTTTATTTAACATTTTTCCAACATTAACTCTAAACATAATTTTTATTTCAATGTAGAATCAACATTATAAAAGTTGTGTATTTTTAAAAATGTATCCATTACATACTTAACGTTATTTCAATAATAAATAAATGTTGAAAAATGGTTTAGATATTAAAATTACATTAACAACATTAGTTCAACATCTTTTTAATGGTTAAAATATAGTTTGTATTTTAACATATGATCAATGTTTAAACTATATTATGTTTTTCTGCCAAAAACCATAGTTTATTCAAATTTTTTTTTCGTTAAAAATATGTTGAGATTTTAATGTTATAGTAACAACGTAAGTTCAACATTTTTACAACATCAAGTTAAATTATAGTTTGCATTTTAATGTGGAATCAATGTTGAAAAAGTGATATGTTTTTCAACAACGTTAAATACACGTTATAATTATGTTGAGATTTTAAAGTTACAGTATCAACATAAGTTAAATGTTTTTCAGTGTCAAGTTAAAATATTGTTTTTACTCAACTTTAATTCAACACTGAATTCACTTTGAAATCTGGTTGAAATTTTAACATAACAATACAATGTTAAGTCTAAATATAATTGTTATTTCAATGTACAATCAACGTCATTAATTTAACTCAAAGTTATTTCTACAATAACATTTAAAACTGGTTTGGATATTAAAATTACAGTAACAACATTAGTTCAACATCTTTTCAATGTAATGTTAACATATAGTTTGTATTTTAATGTATAATCAACGTTCAATATTACCATATGTTTTTGCAATTAAAACCTTGTTTATTCCACATTATTTAACGTTATATAAACGTTGGAAATATGTTGAGATAGGCTAAATTTACAGTAACTATATAAGTCCAAAATCTTTTCAACGTCAACGTAAAATTGCATTTCAATGTAGAATCAACGTTAAAAATGTGTTATGTTTTTCAACCAAAGACCTATTGTTTATTTAACGTTTTCTCAACGTTAAACCCACCCATTATTTACTCACCGTTGTTTCAACAATAAATAAATGTTGAAGATTCTGGTTGAGATATTAAAATTTCAGTAACAACATATACTTCAAAATCTTTTCAATGTCAAGTTAAAATATAGTTTTTATTTTAACGTATAAGCAACATTTAAAATAAGTTGAGTTTTCAACCCGGAGTTTAAGATTTTACCAAATTTTATTTCAACAATGAATTAACTTTGAAATCGGGTTGCGATTTTAAAATAACAATTGCAATAGGCCTATATTTATTCAATATTTTTCCAACGTTAAATATAGTTTTTATTTCAATGTAGAATCAACATTGAAAATGTGTTATGTGTTTCTACAAAGTAGGCCTACCCATTATTTACTCAACATTATTTCAACAATAAAAATGTTGAAAACCGGTTGAGATATTAAAATCACAGTAATAACATAAATTTCAACATCTTTTCAATGTCAAATTAAAATGTAGTTTGTATTTTAACGTATAATCAACTTTTAGAATGTTATTTTTTTCAACCATGTTTAAATTTCTTTAACTCAACCTCAACTTGATATGAAATTTCATGGAAATAATTGTACAAGATTTATTAAAGTTTACCTCCATGGTGGTGTATAAAAAAACTCATAGGCCAATGAGAGCATATATGATCTTTAATCATTATGGTAATTACATTGGTTCTCTGTCCTTGAAAGTGTAGCAAGTAATGGGCTAATCGGATTAGGTCATTAGGTACAGACCAATCAGAAACAAATGCTCATTTTTTGAAGTATCATCAGTTGCTGTAAAGCTGTCTTCATACACAGTTTACATACTAAAGAATTTCAGCATTATCAAATAAATGGTAGGAACTTTATATTTGTATACTATATTAGAGGGTGTATCTAAACTAGCCCAATATCGTAACTGTATAGGCTTGCTTTATATATATATATATATTATGTGGTTATCTTTTGTTCTAGCTAAGATACGCCAGCCAGTCCTCTGGCCCTAGCTAGTAGAAGAGACTAGGCCTAGACTAGAGTACTGTTGTAGGGTAGTGTAAAGGCATAGTTGGGATAATTTTACTTGTTTGGGCTACACTGCAAGTTGGATGTGTGGGCCAAGTTTAAATTATTAGCGGTAATTTTTAATCGCCTATGCCTAGACCTTTCTTTGCAAAATGGCCACGTCCTGTGTTGAATGCTATAATAGGTCTATATTAAATTAAATATAATGTTAAAATGTGGTTGCATGGACAAAGCGCAAAAATAAATAAAACAGCTATGCCTATTATGTGTGTTTAATAATTCATCTCATATCATGGGCCTACATACTGCCAGTGGTATAATAGCCACATCACTGTCATGTCATCAGTAATCTTTTTTTTTTTTGAATATGTTAATAATGTAAATTTTTATATTTTCTTTAAATAAAGATAAAAATTAACATGTTAGGCCTATACCTTTTGATAATAACATTTGAGGCTATGGTTAGCTTAATGAATAATAGAAATATAAAAATAGATATGGGCTATTTTAGTTGTGTGCATAGGCCTAACTCTAAATAATATGGTATTTCTTTCAGGTTTTCAATCCATTGACAGGAAGCCATGTTTGTTGCAATATATTGTTTGTGGTAGACACTGGGAAAAAACCGACTATTGAATGTGTATTTATTTTGCCTCTTGGTACAAAATTGATGGAAGAGCAGTCATGATGAGGCAGTAAAGGTATACAATTTTTATTGTTAAATTTTGCAAGAATATACTGCACATTTGCTAATACCACTATCCCACAGCAATAAGTGACTACCTTACTGTGTCACAGTAATAACTATTTGTTTCTTGATTAAAGTCTTGGGTATCTAGAAGTCATACAAACAGTAAACAGCATTTGTCTTAATCGTCGTTTTACGACTATTATAGTCGTACAAAGGCGATTATTGAGTTTAAATTAATTGGGGACAGTCAAATCGTAAATATTATCTTAACATGCTTAATATTCTTCAAACGATAAATGGCACCTAACTTCGTAATATGATGCTGTCTGAGTTGCCCTTAAAGAAAAATGTATTTAAATCTTTGAAAAAAAAACCACATTCTATTATTTTTTCAAACTTACATACATACATACATACATACATGTTGTTTGGTGTTGATCCTAATTATATAGCAAAATATTAAATTGTTTTAGTTTAAGCCCATTATTGACCTAGGCAATTACTGTACTCTATTACACAACATTCAATTTAATATTTTGCATACCAAAAGTAATAAAACTGAATGAATATGTGTTTTAGGTTAAGTGCCACTCTCTGTAGAGAAATGTCTAACTGTCCATGTTTGCAATACTGTAGTTCATAGTGAATATTTTTCAGTATTTGCATCATTATTGGTAATGCTTGCAGTAGATCAATGTAGATAGTTGAAACAGTTGTTTCAACTATATACATGATATTCAAGTATTTACATTTTTAAAATTTACCATACAATTAACTTTAAAATAATATTTCAGTCTTCTTTTTTTCAAATATTTTTGTTTTGTTTTTATCTTTCACAAAGGTTCTTGGATACCTTGCTTCAATACCTCTGGTCGGACAAGAAAAGACTTGGCTAAGGAGTAGTGCTTCAAATAATTTATCACCAAGAAAGTTACTGATTTAAACCGAAACCTGTAACGCGAAAGATTCTTAATTAAGCTAAGTAGACGTGCAATAGTAGCTGTTGTTATATTACAAAAACTCTGATTTAAACATGCCTGTATAGTACAATGCATAATATTTTATGTTTTTTGCAAGTTTCAATTAAAGAAAAATGGTCAAGTATATTTTGAACTCAGTGTATTTTGTAAGTTTAAAGGATTAAACATTGACATTGACACAACATTGAACATTTTACATTGAATTAACATTGAACATACTACATTGAATCGACGTTGAAATTTACGTTGATGCAAACTTTCATTTACAGCCAAAATTCAACATTGATTCAACATTGATTGTTTGACGTTATTATAACGTTAAATAATTGATGTTGAAACAGCTTTAGACATTTTACGTTGAATCAACGTTGAAATTTACGTTGATGAAAACTTTCATATTCAACTAAAACTCAACGCTGATTCAACATTGATCATTTGACGTTGTTTTAGCGTTAAACATTGACGTTGAAACAATTTTAGGCATTTGACGTTGAATCAACGTTGAAATTTACGTTGATGAAAACTTTCATATACAACCAAAATTCAATGTTAATTCAACATTGGTCATTTGACGTTGTTCCAACGTTGAAAAATTAGCGTTGAAAAAACCTTAGACATTTTACGTTGAATCAACGTTGAGATTTACGTTGATGCAAACTTTCATATACAACAAAAATTAAACGTAGATTCAATGTTTGCATATTACGTTGAATCAACGTTATTTCAACCAAGTTGTGCCCACTGGGAAGTACTCGTTCTGCCAAGCTGGGATACGAGATTTCAGTATTTAAGATAGGGCCTAATCTAATATTGTATTGTACTGGCAGTCATGAGCTTATGTTATTTACATTCGATTGGACAAAAAAGAAATTTGTATATGTATCTTTGTATGATCAGTATACCTGTGTGCGTATTACATTTAGATGTGTACGTGCCGATTGTTGCTGCAGTAGTAGACGCTAGTCACTGTGAAGTTGAAATACTATTTATGTTTACACAGCAGTATGATGAATAAATATTTGATTGTCTTTAAAGAACTTTTGATGGACATTCGTTTCATTTCATTTCTTTAGGCACGAGCGCCAATCAGTGAATTTAATCACTATCCTACGTGGCATATCCATTAAATGACAGGGGACTGAAAGGACTAGTACATCGGGGTAACCCCCTACTCTTCTCGAAGGATGTACTGAGTTCTTTAAAGTGCACGCGAGCCAAATGCGTACACTGGGCCTACGGTTTCAAGTTCTTATCCGAGAAGATATCCACCACCGGAACCATTGGCGAGTGAGCCGTTCGAACCAGCGACGATATTATAGCTGAAGGTTACGTTTCACCTGACTTAACCGCTCAGACAATCAACTCGCCGCTCGTCTCAAGGAAATAATAATTCCACAACCCAACATTCCAACTGCTGTGGGCTAAAATTTACTTTTTGTGGTTCCAAATTTTGCTCTGATTACTGAAATTAGTCCTATATAATAGCCTCAAGACTATTGTTCTGTGGAATATTATGGGAGTTTATGTCAAATATTAACATTTAGCGGCCACATTGGATATATGCAACTGATAGTAGCTGGATTTGACTTACATTGGTGCCACTGTATGCCCCAACTCTTTAAATTCTCGAAAAATGTTGTTCTATGTGGAATACTGTAAAAGTTATAGCAAAATATAAGAACTTGTCAGCTATCTTTGGAGTATTAGGCTGCCTTACAGCAAATTTGAGTTCAGCTCCCCTCAAACCCACAACAAGTTGGTATGCCATAATTTAACAAAATTTACCGCCAGCACATTAAATAAGCACATTTTTCTTTTCAAATTTTGCCTAGTCTTATATAACTAATGTCTAGTGCATAGATGTCGGAAGCATTTTGCAAGTGGTCCGGCCACTTTAATAAGAGTGGGCGTGAGTGGGTGGTGGGGTGCAACACATTTGTTTCACCATGGTTGAAAAAATGGCTCCTCAGCCGGGAAATAGCACATGCATAATTTTTGAAAAATTATTTTCTTCACTTTTAATTTAACGCCGGCTTGGCCATTATACCTTTGCCAAAATTTTATAAGTTATTTGTTATTTTATATTATACCTCTAAACGATTTCAAAATCAATCTTAAATGAAAGTAAGGATTGTCAATAAAGTTGAAATGTACACGGCAATACAATAAATTGTTTTATATATTACTTACACGTAGATATATTAGCCAATGCACTGTTTTGTGTATGGCGTTTTTTTTTTCTATTGAATGACGATAATGTTAGTGGCAATGTTAGTAATATTTTAATGGCATCAGTCCAATGCGGACATGAATTAACCACAAAGCATAATATAATATAACATGACTATGATATTAATAGACATTAAATCCTATAATCGTATTTAAGTTTACTGTAGTTATATAATAGAATATACACTTACAACATCATGAACTGCATATTACCAATAAAGCAAAATAACGTACACAGGGCTTGCAACAGAACGAAAACTTGTTGCAAGAGCCCGCCAAAGCCATAGGCGTAGATCCCGGGGGGATGGGAGGATATATCCCCCAATATTTGACAAGGGGGATGGTCCATTGTATCATCTCCCCAATATTTTGACTATGTATGGGATAAAATGGAGCTTTACACACCTCAAAAGACTGTCACAGAAATAATTTGCACTGTCTTATGCGCTTACAATGATGAAAATTAGCATAATGTATTAATGTTGATAACAAAATTATTTCATCTGGTACCAATCTAAGTTCTTCTTTCTTTAGATGTTAGATGTGCTTGCAAAGAGAGCCACATTTCACACTGAAGGGTGTGTACGACATCAGTAATGTTATGTCAATTCCAAGAATGTTTAAGGTTATATCGGTTGATGAGGAATTTATTGATTAGGCCCATAATAGCAAATTGCATCAATTTATTTTGCAAAAACAAGGTTTCCAGCTTCAGAGGGGGCACATCCCCTGTCCGCACAAGGGCACACATTGGCGCTAACACCAGGCGCGTAACAGGGGTCTTGGGTCAAGTGGGTATTTATTTTCCCGGTTAGTAATTTACCATACCCATCCCACCCCACTCCCAATATAGAAAACAATACGACATAGGGCTTATCTTATTCATAATATAGGCCACACACGTGTGTTTCAAACTAAATATAAACATTTTCATCATGGTTTTATTTATTACAAACATATTCTTTCACCATCAATACACATTGAGGCCCTTCTTTTAGGTTAAAACGATCTATCTTAAATTTGTCTTTCTTGAATTTGGGACTATTTTCGGTATCTTTTAAAATACCGAAAACATTCTGAATTTTTACTAATATAGTAGGATTTTTCTTCTTTTTTTTTTCTATTTTATTAATTTTTCTTTTAAAGGATAAACCTTAAAAAGCCCTAAAAAATCCGCGCAAAATATTTTTGTGTTTTTAATTCTAATTTCGTTGGAATTGATGAAAACTCCCTAAAATGTGGAATTTATAGAAGAAATTGGCCTACCGCAATAAGGAATGCGCGCAAAGAATTTGAGAATTTTAGACACTTTCAGAGGATGCATTTGTCTAGGGGTAGGGAAAGATTTTCCAAAGATAGATATTTTCCCCTTGTACCCCAGTGGTTACGCCATCGGGCAGCATAGATCGACGGAGTTATGACAGTTTTTTAAGTGGAGAAGGGGTTGCAGAGTGTTGCGAGTCTGGTAATTATGATATCTTCCTTTTTATTCTTGTCTTTACTTTTCTCTTATCTTTTTCTTTTCCTTTCCTTTTGTTTTTTTCTTCTTTCTCTTTTCCCTCCCTCTCCCCTCTTTCTTTTCTCTTATTACCCAGCCCGGTACGACGGCTCAGTCAGCCCGGTAAAAACCGTCAGGGGAGGGGCAGTTTTTTCCCCTGCCTTCCCCCCCCCGCGCCTGTTACGACACTGGCTAACATGCCAATCATCCCCCCCCCAATGAAAAATACTTTTCTACGCCACTGGCCAAAGCATATATACTGCGGTCGCGAACAGCTGTGCATTTGCGTTGATATGCAATTATAAAACACCTGTGTCTGCATTCATGCAAATACAAGTACAATGGACCAAACGAGATGACAATGACACATTTTTACGATAATTATGTATAGTTGCACATTTACAGTGAGATTAAGTGTCCTTTACTGGAGTATATATACGTATCCATTTTACACAAAAAATAAACACCTCCCTCAAATAGATGTCTCCCTGAAATAAACGCCCTTCAAAAGCTCTTCGAATAAATACGTTAATATTAATAAAATAAAATCAAATTATGTTTAGTGAATAATTACCTTTGGAAACCCGTCTAATTTATTATCAATGACAAGCTTACTCTAACCTAGCATATTTTGGTAGATACGGTACCCACGCACGACTTAAAAAAAACTTTGGTTGACTACATAATAGTGTTTCTGACTTAACAATCAGAGTGTTACTGACTACACAATCTGAATGTTGCTGACTATAGACTGTTGCTGACTAAATAATCAGAGTGTTACTGACTAAACAATCAGAGTGTTACTGACTACACAATCTGAGTGTTGCTGACTATAGACTGTTGCTGTCTAAACAATCAGAGTGTTACTGACTAAACAATCTGAGTGTTACTGACTATATTATTAGAGTCTTGCTGATTACACAATCACAGTGCTGCTGACTACACAATCAGATTATTTCTGACTACACAATTAGACTGACTGCTATATGGAATTGCAGCTTGCTCATGACGTCATCTGTCAGCGAAAACGTCCTGAGTGAGTTGCTATCTTTTACAAAAATAATTTGTCATCTATATTTCATATTGTATTGTGTGTATCTTAACGTTTTTGAGTTTTTACAAATATATTATGTTTTTTGCTGGTTTTTCTTTTCTTTTTTTTTCTGTATTCTCGGTATCTTTTAAGATACCGAAAACATTCTGAATTTTTACGAATATAGTATGATTTTTCTTCTTTTTTTTTCTATTTTATTAATTTTTTCTTTTAAATTAGGATTTATAAGGGAAGTGACTTATTCTTGAAGCATTCCTCGGTAGTAAAGAATTATATATTAAATTGTATACAATAATTTTTTTTTCATCCTCCACATTATCGGGTGTTCCTCTGTTGCAGAAGGGT